TGGGGGACCCTCGGGAAATGTAGTCGTGCCCCATGTGCGGGGCGGCGGGGGACTACAAGTCCCACAGTGCAGCGGCCGGGAGGAAGGGGAGGAGGAGGCAGAGGAAGAGGAGGAAGAGGAGGAGGAGTTCCTGGAGGTCTACCTCGACCTTGACCGCGGGGGGGGCAGGACGCTGCTGGCAGCCTGGGGTGCTGTGTCCGAGAGTTTGGGGGGGAATCCCCCCCGAAAACCCCCCATGGCATTATCCTGCCCTCCCGGCTGGGGGGGGGCACCCTTCCCCCCCTCCCCCCCACCAGCATCCGCTCCCACAGAGTGCCATGGGGTTGGAAGGGACCTCTGGAGATCACCCAGTCCAACCCCCTGCCAGAGCAGGGCCACCCAGAGCAGGTCCCACAGGAACGTGTCCAGGTGGGTTTGAATGTCTCCAGAGAAGGAGACTCCACCACCTCCCTGGGCAGCCTCTGCCAGGGCGCTGCCACCCTCACAGCAACGCAAGTCGTCCTCATGTTGAGGTGGAACTTCTTTTATTCAGGTTTGTGCCCATTTCCTCTTGTCCTGTCCCTGGGCACCACTGAAAAAAGACCAGCCCCATCCTCTTAAGACCCTCGCTTTAAGTATTTATAAGCATTGATCAGAATCAGAAGCCTTCTCTTCTCCAGACTAAAAAGACCCAAGTCCCTCAGCCTCTCCTCATAAGAGAGATGCTCCAGGCCCCTCATCATCTCTGTAGCCTCTGCTGGACCCTCTCCAGCAGTTCCCTGTCCTTGAACTGGATAGCCCAGACCCCGCCGGTTTGCCGTGGCCTCAGGGCTGCGGGGCCTCGCATCCCCCCAGGCTGGCTCGGCAGCATCCTTGAGGAGACCCTTCCCACCACCTTGGCTTCCCCCAGGGATTTACCACCTTCCCTATCCACTCCCCCCTGCCCATAGCAGCTTGGATTTATTTCTAGCCCTCATTTTTTATAAGGGGGGTGGGGGGAATTTGCTATACCCTGGGCTGTGCAACATCCAAGAGGGTCCTGGACGTGCTGCTGCCTGCTGGGCTCTCAACAAAATTGCCAAAGCCCCTCTTCCCCCAAGCCCAGCCCAGCAGCAGCCCCCCAAGATGTGCTGATGGGGTGAGACCTGGCCGTTAGGACACCGAGGGCTGAACCCCAGCCCTGCCCCTGTCCATGAGGCAAGAGCATCTGTAGAGGGAAATTAAGTGGAGGTGGAGACCCTCGAGGATGGGGCCCTGCAGCTGCTGTCCCCATCTCCGGGGAGATGACTCATTTTCTGAGAGCATCTTCTCTCCCTGCTTCCCTCCCCTTCTCCCAGCACTTACCCTGCCAGAAGTAAATGCAACCTGACAGGGCTCAGCTACTCTGCTGAAATATTTAGATGTTCCTGCCTGGAAGTGCAGCAGTGGGATTCCAGATGTCTGGGAGTTGTCACTCCCCACAAACACACCCCACCCAGCACTAAGAGGCACCCAGGCAGCTGCACCCCAGCCTGGGGTCT